ATAACTGATTCTGTCCCACTGAGGAGACCCTCGCCCAAACCTGCATGGTCCAATGCTCGACTACGGAATTTGAAGCGTATGAGCGTAACCCATTCACCAAAAGATTATTTTCAACAGTGAGCAACTAATATCGCACATATAACCGCATTCTTTACAAGAGCTACACAAGGCGTGTGCAGGCTAATTTACGGCTTAATCCAAAGCAGTTCTGGTCATTCATGAATACCAAACGAAACGAGGAGGGGCTACCAGTCGAAGTTCACCTGGGTGATAGAATCGCCAGCAATTCCCTTGAGAAATGTAATCTTCTGGCAGAACATTTCAAAAGCATTTTCAATGACGCTACGGCTTCGTTGTCCCAAGTTGCTGAAGTGGTGAGGGACACTCCCAGTGATGCTTTCAATTTTTCGATTACCTTGGTTACAGTAGACCTCGTCGAATCCGCCATCAAGAAGCTGAAATTTTCTAATGCTGCTGGCCCTGACGGGATCCCCTCAACCATCCTGAAGCGATGCTGTTCAGAGCTTACAACACCGCTTTCGAAGCTGTTCAATATTTCATTACAGCAGGGGGAGTTCCCTACGCGTTGGAAATCGTCCTTCATGTTCCCGATCTACAAGAAAGGAGACAAGAGCCTGCATCTTAGTTGAGACATATTTTGAATTTTGTTTAAAACCCGTTTAGAAGAATTTTTGCGATGACCTTAGCTTTATTTTAGAGGTACACACAAAGGGTTAAACAAGGAGTGACTGTTTTAAGCCAGTGCAGGAAAATCGGTCTAAAACTCCTACGTTTAGCACATTATTATAAAGTTCATGATGGGAACGTAAACTCTATCTATTAAGCTGTTTCTGTAAGTGTATACGACATGACTGATCACATATCAACCACTGTAATTTTGAAGATTGAATCCTGAACAATAACCGTTTCTAGAGGCTCAAAAAATTTGCCTGCTTGCAGCCTCTGCAGTTTTTCCGAGGTAAAAATTCATAGCTCATGAACCAAGCATCGTAGAAAGAACGTTGAATTGTAAAATGATAAGGAAATTATCTCAATAATCCATAGAAAATATCAACTAAAAAATGTTTCCACGATTTGCAGTAAGGAGAACAATCGCTAGGAAAATCAGAAAAAAATCGATTGTTTTTCAAGCTTGAAAGCTTCTTACACGGCACTGAAAAGAGTGTCGAAAAGTAGTACTTTTCGGAACTTTTCTGTGTTCCTTGAATTTTACGTTGAATTTTGTGTTCGAACTGCGCATTGGATAAGAGGCCAGCCAAAGCAGCACCTTAATCGAGGGGGGCAAATACTAATTATGTTTTTATTCTCGTTGTTTTTCCATTGGGGTGTCCGAATCAGAATCGCTCATCTTGTATTATTATCGACTGATCTTGAATGAAGCTTGAACATATATTACAGTCATATTTTACGACCCACTTGATCGGAAAATTTGGTCTTCACCATGGACGTTCAAATGCAGTTACTGCTGGCAAAAAATAATCTCAAGCGACATTTTTCGATGTTGCTAAAAATTGTGTAGCAAAACTCGAATTTTTCAGCACTGGCAAGCCTTGTTAGGTAAACGTAAGACTTATGCTGAAAAAATCTTCTTTACTTATTGCATAAATAACTATTTTTGCTACCCTTAATTTAATTGCCAAGAACAATAACAATGAAATATAGCTAATTGTTAACGTAAAAGAATCTATTGTAAATAGGACGTTCACAATAGATGAGGTTGTAATATATGTTAACTAAAGAAAAATCATTTTTTCCGATCATCTCTTAAAAATAAGTTTTTCTGTTTTTTTTTCTTCTATTATTAAGAATTTTGAAAATATAAAAACCTATGTGGTGATAGTAAGATCATTTGACAAATATTATACGACTACAATAGATTTGAATTTCAACATATTCATACTGGTGACAACGCTCTGATGAGACAACAAACCCGCATCCCAAAGCTTCTCTCCTGACCCTATCTTTCGAAAATGCACCCTTTTATCTAACCTCGGGTAAGACGCTAGTATTGGGCCCAACTCCTACTAGACAAAGAAATAAGTGAACTCTGTTACAAACAGTGTACAGTTAATAATCTGCTCCGTTAAACTAACACGATTGAGACTTACAAAAAACGGACTATGTAAAAAACGTCGACATCAAAATATATTTCATTTTATTATTATTTTACTGTAATTGTATCGTTACTTTTATTCAGGTACTCAGTTGACGAAACAAAGTTTTCATGATGCAATCAATTTAAACCGTAATAAGCAGTTGATCAACATCAGATCGTAATAAGCAGTTGATCAGAACCTAATTTTCATTTTTGAATCAACAAATGGAAATGATGGCTTGGACTTTCAATAAAAAAAAAAAAAACTCATTGCGATTAAAATAAATCTCAAAATCTACCTTTGCACGTCAACACTGCACTCTTATCCTGCCATATGTGAATGACAGCTTATTTGAACTGAACGTAAAAAAATGCAACACAATATCATTTAGCAGAAAAAGAACACCATCAAACATTTCAATTGCATTAGAAAATCAGAATGTAGAAAAATGTTAAAGAGTTAGGGACTTAGAGATTTTCTTAGACTCCAAACTAACTTCCATAGACCATTACAACATAATAATTCACAGGGCAAATAACATGCTAGGCTTTATCAAACGCTTTTGCTATAACTTTCAGGACCCATATACAATTAAAACACTAAATATTGCCTATGTGAGGTCAATGCTTGAATATTGCAGCATTGTATGATCTCCATTTTCAATCACGCACGAAGAAAGATTAGAATCAGTACAAAAGCAATTTCTATTATATGCCCTTCGTAAATTAGGTTGGACATCATTTCCTCTTCTATCATATGAAGCACGCTGCATGCTTATAAACATACAAACATTAAAAGTGCGACGTGAATATGCAATGGTTTCGTTTGTAAACGATATCGTTTCGCAGCGCATTAACTCAGCAGAACTTTTATCAAAATCAAATTTTTATGCACCTACTCGACGACTCAGAAATCGAAAGTTATTTTCCAAAACCCATCATCGCACAAATTATGTAAAATTTGGGCCATAATACTGCGAAACCATTGACTTTTCAATGTCTCGACAGAAACTAAAACAATATTTTATCTCCATACGGAATCATAACTCGTAAGAAGTAAAAATAGAATAGCAGACAGTATTTTTTATATTCTTAAGAAAAACAAATTTGTACATGTATTTGTACTAGTCTACATCGGTTGATTAAAAATAAATAAACTAAACTAAACTAAACAAATCTAAATGATTAATTCCGTCTTGTTCCCATAACGCAAGTCAATGCCTTCCATTCAATTAAATATGTTTTAAAAACATACAAATATATTTTTCAATCAATTTCCTGCAGAATAAAACGAACCTACAGCAAAACAATTCGGCTTTCATCAGTCATAATATAAACCGGAAGAACTTCCTAACTTTGCCACATTCCTACATCAACCGAACGCTTCCCCCATTCGCACCCGGAACCGAAACACGAAACCCAAAACCACTTTCCACTATCCAGTAGTGACTAGATGAAGCACACGGCAAAGGGACACTTTTCACTACCCCCGAAAGCAGCATTATTAATTGCTCGGATTATGCCCGGTGCAACGGCAATGTGTCCCATGTTTAGGTACCACCCAAAATCCCGAAACTCTTGTCCCATGTTTAGTTTCCTCCATACGGACCAGTAGGTCCTTTGTCTCGCATGACGATACATACACGACGTATAGAATGTTCGCATATTGCACAAGGATTCTAACTGATTTACGAAGCGGCAGCAGCAGCAGATGAAGCCCAGCCGGAGAAAAGAGGGAAACTATCGGACCGACCGGCTGCAAAACATTTCCATTGTACCGTTTCACAAAAGGCCCGGTGCTGAAGGTTGCATTTAAAGGGAGTTTTAGAAACACAAGCAAAAAAAAAATCTGGTGCAGGTAAAAATCTAACTTTGGTGACACCTTTTTGAAACAGACGAAAATTTAAGCGGAAAAAATTGATTGCGATTTAAATGCTTTTCGACCGAACGGGTCGAATCCCCCCCGGTATGGTTGGGGTTCGTTTCTTCTCCATCGTTGAAATTTCTCGGCAGCCGACTATTGTGGGGGGTTCGAACGCGCGAACGTTCCAATTCGAACTGAGAGAAATTTTCTCTCCCGGCCGGGCGCGAACATCGTCGTGCCGGCCGCCACACGCGGCTTCGTCAGTTAGCCGAAGGTAGCGAACCGAACGAACGCGAAAGGACGGAAGAAAACTTGTCGCGACAACCGCGGCGTGCGCCCGCGAGACCAAGATCCATATTGTACAGCATCTTGCCGCGAAACCGCCGAAGAAGCAAGAAAAACAAGCAGCGCTAAAAATAAATGAAACATCGAACACCGGTCTGCACTACACCCCAAGCCATAGTGCACCGGGCCCTCGTTCCACGGGAAAACTTGAATGGACAGAAGTGAAGAAGGTGAAAAAACACCCGACGACGGCAATGCAGTCGGCCCGAGTTCGCCTTCCCCTGCCCGAATCAGGTTTCACACCTGCGGTGCTTCCCCTTCCACTATAGACCCGAAGCAAACCCGAAGACACCGGTGCGGTGTAGCTCCACCCTCTTTGCGTGATCTTTACCGTCTTCCACTTTACACACCGACAGCGGCGATCACCTTACGGCCGGTCGATCTTATTGGTGCAGCAAGGCAGGCACGTGCTCAACACATATACCTACGCATACATATGGACGGGTAGTAGAGCAGCAGCTGCAACACCTGGCTCAGCTCAGCACTGGTGCCTGGTGGCCGTTTGTTGTTTTGTTTTGCCTTCGCCATCGCATTTCGGTCGGTTGATCGAGGGGAAAAACCCGAACGCCTGCTGCTCTACCACCGACCTGTTCCTTTGCGAGGGGAAGTGCTTCGGGTTCGGCTCGGCTATATATAGGGGCCCGAGCAGGATCCGAACACCATTCAAGGCTCACTTGCCGTGTCGATCAGTTGCACGTACGATTTTTATTGCACTCGTTTTTTCATTTCTTTTGAGTTTCGGGTTTCTGTTTTCGCTTTGTGCTTTCGTTGCGATCACAGTTCGGTTCCGTTTGTTTACCCACGGCTGGTGCAGGATTTCAGTCGTTCGTCTGAGCTCGTTGCGCATACATCGTTCGGGACGAAGGAAGTGATTCAAGTGACCACCAATCGATGCAAGATCAGTTGATCTTGCCGAGTGTTTCTAACAGAAAAATTAAAAGGACAAATCGATCCATATGGAATATCAAGCAAAGGATTAAGTGACAGCTGTGTTTGAGTGGAGAGAAGACAATCCAGTGTGTGATTCGCAAGGTGCGAAATTGTAAAAAAAAAATTAAACTGAAAGTGAACTATGCCCACATCGATCATGCAGAAGAACTACAGTCATTGTCCGCTCAAGAAGCGACCGGTCTTCATCAGCGAGGAGGAGGAAGCCAAAATTGGTAAGTGTCTTGTTTTGTGTGATTCCTACAACTTTTGAAGAGTTTTTGAAAACGGAGAGCAGTTCAAGTTCTGTTGATTTCTGAGTTGGTGACTTACCGGGTATTTGTTTTTCTATTTTTTGCAGACTCCGAATCTGATATGGAACCGGAAAACCTCAGCACAAAGCCCGAGGATCTCTCGATGAAGAAAAAGGCTCGTTCTGAGTCACCGGTGCCCGTTGTGATCAAAGCTGAAGACACTTTGCCAACGCCACCACCTTCGTCATCTCCCGATCCTACTGAAATCAAATCCCCCATCTCCGTTCCTACTCCGATCTACGGATCACACCCATCGATCTACTACGCACCATCACGATCTCCATCCTCACCCGCAGAACCTCTGCACAACTTTTACAAATCCGCTCCCAATGTGTACTCCGGATATCCTCATTTCCCATACCCGATGCCATATCCCTCGGATCTCTACAACCTGGCGTATCACCATCATATTTCGCCTCCACGATCGGAGCCGCTATCTCCGTACGGCCAGCGTGAAAGTTCCGTCACGCCACCACACCCCGTGCTCTACAGCCGCCAGGAAACGATCTCACCGCCCACCATGGTTCCGGCCTATCCAGCCTCTGAACTGAGGATAAACCAGAACAACAACATCATCAAGTCGGAGTCCTTTGCCCGGCAGCACCGCTACATGCCATACAGTCTCAGCCATCACCATCAGCTCATGATGCCTGTAGAACATCCCACGCTTTCGCCAACCTCCAGCCACACCTCGTTCAATTCGTACCTTTCTTCGAATCGCTCGCTTTCACCGGCACGCTCCAGCCCATTGACTGTTTCCGAGGAGAACAACAACAACACCAGCTCTTCGCCATCGATCCTCACCGAGAAGTCCTCTTCCAACTCCAACATCCAGAAAGTGAAAAGTGAGAAATCTAGTGACAAGCCAAGTGGTGGTTCCAGTGGTGCCCCTCGATACCAATGCCCTGACTGTGGCAAGTCCTACTCAACCTACTCCGGTCTATCGAAGCACCAGCAGTTCCATTGCCCAGCAGCCGAAGGTAACCAAGCTCAGAAGATCTTCGTTTGCAAGGAGTGCGACAAGCCGTACAAAACTCTCGGAGCTCTGAAGATGCACATCCGCACCCACACGCTTCCGTGCAAGTGCAATCTCTGTGATAAGGCCTTCTCGCGGCCGTGGCTACTCCAGGGTCACATCCGAACCCACACCGGTGAAAAACCTTTCATCTGCAAGCTCTGCAACCGAGCCTTTGCCGATCGGTCCAACCTGCGAGCCCACCAGCAAACCCACGAGGACGTCAAGCGCTTCAAGTGCCCATCCTGTACCAAATCCTTCTCGCGGTTGCCTCTCCTCACCAAACATGCCGAAAGCGGGTGTCCGGGAATCCAGCTTGGGTCCCAACCGATGCCCGGTTCTCCCTCGGCACAGTCGGCCCAGGATGAGAAGTACATTCCAACGGTGCTGCCTCACAGTAACATCGCTTGCTATTAGAAGACAAGAAAAAGTGATCCGAACCAACCAAGTTCAACGAAAGTGCCTTTTTGGTCGTCACAAAAGCAAACACACAAAAACAGTTCACCGCAAAAGACTGAATCCTATTGCCACCGCGATCGATTAGATTTTTATTGCCTACCAAGTGTGCTACAGAGAAAGATAGTGAGAGCAAGAGACGAGAGTGTGAGTTCTTCTTCAAAGGGAAGAGTGACAGAGACAACGTTTGTAAATAGGTTATTTATTCACCGTGAGATAAGTGAAATCTATTTCCAATCAAGTTTTTCGAATTTTCACAAAATTACCAAAAAGTAGCGTGTTTTTTTCCGGGTAGAAATTCAAACGTCGCAAAAATTGTTTTTAGTTGTCGTAAGTTATTTATTTTATATCAATCCGAGCAAGCAAATCTTGAGTTACTGCTGGTCGCTTTCCCTTGGGTCTTCTACTGGGACCGATCACGGGGGGAAAGTCAAATCACTTTCATGAAAGTTTCTAAACTAGTCAGTTAGGATAATTCTTCGTAAAACTATTTCATTTTCGCCCCTCCTTAATGCACCCTTAATTATAAACAAAAAATCGTGTAGTATCATTTTGTAGGACCCTAAGTCAAACAAATCAGAACTATTTCAAAAAGGATCTCAGTTGTATGAAATTCCTATTGTGAGTGAAAGCGAGAGAGAGTGAATTTTGAGCCATTCACATGTGAAAAATGTGCCTTTTAAGAAAAAAAAAAAGACAAATCAGAGCAACAACAATTTTTTAACAAAAAAAAAAGATAGAAACGTATGCATTTCAAAACGCCATTGATTACTCCCACGTGCACATGTTTGTGTGCGCGCGCCGTGTAACCGAAATCATGACAAATTAGAATTAAGCAGAGGTCAATTTTCCTACTAAGCGCTCTCTATACTATTTTTTTTTTAATTTGGTAAACCACTGTACAGTTCTGCGTATTTTCTACCACATATAGAGCAGATACCTTCGCCCCTAAGGAGAATCTTAATATATTTTGTTTTTATTGTTTAGTGTTTAAGAATTTTTACAACAATAAGAAAGCAGCAGAAACCGATAAAACAAAATCAAGACAAAATAAAAAAGCACAAATTTGTGTATGAAAAATTAAATTTCCTGTTCTTTCGCTCCGCTTTGTGCGGTCATTCGCCCTGACTCCTCCGCTGACTTCCTTCCGCTTTGTTTGGTCTGGTCGCTTTTGCAGTCTTCTTCATTCCCGGGTCCAGGATATCCTTTCCTTTCAGCACCAAATCGGCTCGGAACAAGTGATTCGCCATTGTGGGTGATTTGCATTATTCTCGTTTTTTTTCCCCTTTCTTCTCTCCTTCGTTTTCGGGAAGCACTTGTCTTGGGCGGATGGGTGGATGTGCCAGGCAAAGAAATTCCTTCAAATTTTATTTTGCTTCGGATTTCTTGAGGATTTTTTCGAGCTTCTTTGCCACCAGCGCAAACGCAACGGAAGGGACCTTTGTAATCGAGAGCGTTTTTAATGAAGGTAATCAGCTGGAACTTTATGGCTCAGGTGTGCTGCGTGGGCACAGGTTAATTCTTGCTTAAGGGATCGGTTTACTTCCTCTGAACGGTGTTGGGTCTCGTTCTCTTGAGGGAATGGAATTTCGATGGAAGGAAGAGAGGATATTGAATTTCGGCTTGTGATTGGGATTTTTTGTTTAGTTTTCTGGTAGCAGGATTTTGGGTTTTTATTTTTGCAAATTCTGACCTAGATTTGGCTGGTTCGGAAGAGATAAAGAACTTTGTTTCGAAGGATTAGCTGAAGAACATATTTTTCAGATCAGGTGAAGGTAAGGAAGGTAATGTAAAACTGTAAAACATATCGGGAACCGTCTTCTATTATTTAAAATTGGCCAAACAGGAAATCAAACCTGTTGTGAATATGCATCGTCACAAATGGTTGTAGCTTAATGATGAAGATTATGGCCAGGGTTTCAGCCATGACGCACTCCTTCTTTCTACCATGACGATTTGGAAAATATGACTTAATACAAAAATGTTCCTTCTCCAAGCAATTCCACAGCAACTGAATCGTTGTGCACTGATATATCGTCTAAATATTGTCTGGAGTTGTGTTGTAAGCTTTGATTTTGTATGGTTTTGGCGATGAATATGTGGAAACTTGCACGTAATTGTTGATGCAAGGTGCGAAACTTTATTTTTTTTTTCGTGCATTCTAAGCAGCTATTTCTTCGGAAAAGTTATTCTACAGACTCTATGAAAAAATATGTTTGAGGTAGTTAGTTAGTGATTTACTTTGGGCCAGTTCCTGTATTGAGAAAATGAGCTGATTTTCTGCACAGAGACTACTGATTAGTGGTGGCAAATGTACACTTTTTGCAAAACCATCGTCCAGAGCAAATCAAAACTTCCATCACACGGGCGATCGTGTATATGTACATTTCAAGCGAATGGTGGCGATAGAGAATAGGAAAAATGTCGCAGTCCATTCTTTTTCAAACAGTCTATTGTAATGAAATTTTAGCTGCAAGCGTGCTTGAGACAGTAAATGATCAACTCCCTTATTTACGCATAATGTTAACACCTTTGCTTATGAGTGGTTAGTATTCATGCTTACTTTTTAATTCAATACAATAAACATCAAAGAAATGCACTAATTAGTCAAACATAAGTAAAATGCTACATGTCATAAATGTGCAGGTCTTGTCTGCTTCTTTGTGCAAAAATGTTTTGTCGCTGGTAGAAAACAGCTCAGAAATGTCGTGACATTTTTCCGCTTTCCTGTTTGTTTTTGTTTTTGCAAAAAGTATCAAATGTTATCAAATGGAGCGCCTATTGAAAATGGATCGTAGATTCCATTAATATATTTGGCCATGTGTCGTTGTGAAGGACATTGTTCCTATTAGGGTTAATCCAGCAGATCATCTAGGGACATTGTCTGCCGTTGTGCCTAGCGGATCGAACTTTATAAAGTCGAGGATGATTTAGAGAGCCTAGAACCGCTTTATAGAACATATCGATGGATCGTAGTGTGAATAGAATCTTGGAACATATGAGGACAATGTTCCAGTACTGGTGGATCAAGTAGATCATTTGATCTGCATTTTAGGACGATTTGGTGAACCCACAATATCTGATAAACATAAAAAATTTCTTCAATCGTGGTTGGTCTAGTGGATTGAATGATCGCAACTTCAGGACGATTTGCGGATCTTAACTCTAGTACAATTTAGGGTTGTTCATGTACCACAAAATGCTATGATCAATTGAAAAATTTGAAACACGCCGTTTGAAAAAAAAAATCATCACTCAGAAAATAATGTTTCTTGCTTTTCATTGTGATTTTCCTCCATTTTGAACATAATCGTTTTTTTTTAAAAGATTATATTCTATGTGGACTACTGAGATAATTTCCTTATGATTTTACTATGGTAATTTGCTCTACGATGCTTGGTTCATGGGTTATGATTTTACGAGGTGTCCAGTAAAATCCAAAAACCTCACTAAAGTTTTCCCGGAAAAATGGTCTATCAAATTTGTTAGAATTTTTGTTTCGTTCATATGATCATAAACTAAACCTGTGGGCAAAATTTCATAGTACTCTGAGTGCCTTCGGCCCAAACTTGTCCGATAGTTAAAAAAAGAAATGCCCATTGTCTATAATTTCAATCCGGGCGTCTACCCATTTGGCTAAATAATGGTTTAACTGCGTAAACCACCAACTACTAAAGCGAAAGCTTCTCAACGAGTTCTAGTTCTTGTACAATGCATGCGATCTCATACCCTCGTTCCTCAATTACCGCTCTCAGGCCGTGAATCTAGGTAACGACATTTCTTCACATCTACCAGTCACCGATGGCACTCCCCAGGGATCGTGCCTAAACGCGTTATTGTTCTGCCTTTACATTAACAGCCTCCCTACTAGACTAAAATGGTCGGTAAATGCTGGGTAATGCGCAATACAGATCCCATTGAGATCACTAGTCTCTTCCCAGCAACTCCTATCCCTACCTCCCCGCGGTACCGGCCGGTAACTGTGAGCAACCTTAGGGAAGATCGGGTAACCAACCCCGGTGGTTACTTTGGTCATAGGCTGACAGGGAAGGGGGGGCAGGGGGGGCGGGCGAATTTGCTTCGGCAAGCCTGATCGTCTGTTCTCCAGGAGGAGCGGCTCACAACAGCGTCTGTTCCCCATGTTAGGAGCAGCTGATCTACGTCCGAGTGCCAGTGAAGGAATCTAAGCACAAATGTGCACCCTGGTCCTCCGGAAAGTTAGGGGGTTGGTGTCAGGCCCTGCAAGCCAGCCGTAAAAAAGCATTGCAACGGAAAATCAGCAACAGAGGAATACGAACCGAGACCAACGGCAACGACCCCAGCGACGAAATAGGACTTGCGATTGGAAACTTCAACTTTAGCATAATCAACGTGCACAGCCGTCACTCCGGAAGCACTGATGATGACAAGGACGCATTTTACATGCTGCTCGACCGCGAGTACGATCGCTGCCCAAGCCACAACGTCAAGATCATCATAGAAGACCTAAACGCTCAGGTAGGCCAGGAGGAGGAATTCAGACCGCCGATTGGAAAGTTCAGCGCCCACCAGCTGACGAACGGGAACGGCCTACGACTCATCAATTTCGCCGCCTCCAAGAACATGGCCATACGTAGCACCTTTTTCCAACACAGCCTCCCTTATCGTTACACCTGGAGATCACCACAGCAGACGGAATCGCAAATCGACCACGTTCTGATTGATGGACGGCACTTCTCCGACATTATCGACGTCATGACCTATCGTGGCGCTAATATCAACTCTGACCACTACCTGGTGATGGTCAAACTGCGCCCAAAACTTTCCGTCATCAACAATGTACGGTACCGCCGCCCGCCACGGTACAACCTAGAGCGACTGAAGCAACCGGATGTCGCCTTAGCATTCGCACAGAATCTCGAGGCAGCGTTGCCAGAAGAGGGCGAGCTCGATGTGCCCCCTCTAGAGGACTGCTGGAGTACAGTAAAAGCAGCCATCACCGACGTAGCCGAGAGCGCCATCGGGTACGTGGAAAGAAGTCGACGGAATGAATGGTTCGACGAGAAGTGCAGAGCGATTTTGAAGGAGAAGAACGCAGTCCGGGCGGTAATGCTGCAGCATGGAACCCGACAGAACGTGGAACGGTATTAACAGAAGCGGAAACAGCTGACCCGCATCTTTCGGGAGAAAAACCGCCTCCTGGAAGAAATGGAACTGCTGTGCCGTTCCCAAGAAACACGGAAGTTCTACCAGAAGCAGCTGGTAACGATGGTAACGCAGCCGAACTCATCAAGATGGGCCCAGAAAAGTTGGCCACCTGCCTGCACCGGGTAATAGTCAGGATCTGGGAAACAGAACAGCTACCGGAGGAGTGGAAGGAGGGGGTAATCTGCCCCATTCACAAGAAAGGCGACCATTTGGAATGTGAGAACTTCAGAGTGATCACCATTTTAAATGCCGCCTACAAAGAGCTATCCTAGATCATCTTCCGTCGTCTAGCACCTAAAATGACCGAGTTCGTGGAAAGTTATCAAGCCGGCTTCATCGACGGCCGATCGACAACGGACCAGATCTTCACCGTACGGCAAATCCTCCAGAAATGCTTTGAATACCAGGTCACAACGCATCATTTGTTCATCGACTTTAAGGCGGCATACGACAGTATCGACCGCACAGAGCTATGGAAAATCATGGACGAGAACGGCTTTCCTGGGAAGCTGATCAGACTGATCAAGGCAACGATGGACGATGTGCAAAACTGCGTAAGGGTTTCGGGTGAACTATCCAGTTCATTCGAACCTCGCCGGGGACTGCGACATGGTGACGGGCTTTCATGCCTACTCTTCAACATCGCTCTAGAAGGTGTAATGCGACGAGCCGGGCTCAACAGCCGGGGTACGATATTCACGAAATCCGGTCAATTTGTGTGCTTTGCGGACGACATGGACATTATTGCAAGAACATTTGGAACGGTGGCAGAACTATACACCCGCCTGAAACACGAAGCAGCAAAGGTCGGACTGGTGGTGAGTGCGTCAAAAACAAAATACATGCTAGTAGGCGGAACCGAACATGACAGGATTTGTCTAGGAAGTAATGTCACGAT